CAAAGCTCGACTTACGAAGGAAATAGAAGATGATATAATGGTAGCTTGCACTTTTGAACAAAAAGACGTCAAGCTTAATTCAGACCTTATTCCGGCAGATGTATTTATGCGAGCCTTAAAACGTTTCATGTATCGACAATTGCTAGTAGAAACTATACAAGAAGATCACCCTCTTTCAGCTTACATGACAGAAACTACGACTATCTGTTGTTGGCCAGATAATGTAGATGAGGAATTAATTTCAAACTCATTTCCTATGTCACTTTTGATAAAACATACATATGCAGCATATCATTTTATTAAAAATAAGATAGAGGTAAATTATTACTTTTATTTAAAAAAACTTTCAGTTATTAAATACTAAGTAATCCTTATATTCTTAGGTAGCGGCTACAGAGAAACAGAATATCATGAAACAGCCCAACATTTTTAAAGAAGAGCAAGATCAAAGATTTAAGAAATAAACTTTCATTTATATATTTAAAATTTGAAATTAAAAATTTTGATTTTTTATAAATTATAGTCAAACACACTCTCTATAACCTATCTATTTTTTTTATATCGAATACTTTTATATATTGCTTAGTTTAACATTACAGCATTATAAAATAACCATATAATTAAAATATCATTTATAACTTTTAAATCACGTAATTCGAAAAAACTTCTATTTCATTCCTACCTTACATGTCAGTTAAAAATTTATTCATTAAATTTATTAAATTTTTAAAAATGTAATTTAAATTAAGTCATTAACTAATTCACGGATTTCGTTAAAGTCCGAAAATAATGTTATCATTATTAACTAAGCATTTTTATATTTAAAGATCAATGTCTAGCTAGTTATGTTGAACGAACAAAATTCCATAGAACACTAATCATAATCTGGTCGAATTATGTCAATTTTTTATTCGTTAGCAGTACTCAAATAAAATGCTGTCACTGAAAGCTCACCTTTACCTATAAATTGAAATTTGGTTTTACTCTTTTATTGAAAATATCCTCGTTGATCTATATTATAAATGAGACTGCAGCCTGATGTTAAGAGAAAACTTTATTTGCATTTTCATATTTGAATCACTGTGCATTTTTTATTCTCGAAATGTTATTCTAATTTCCTTTATAATTTATTAACACCCAAAAATAATTAATTCCCAACATAAGTAATCATTTACAGTCTGCTAAATTTGCATAACAATAACTGATCACAGGTAAAACTATAAACCTTTTCCAAAAATATTATGCTAGAAAACCATTATCGGATAACGCCTTTTTTAACTGTTTTCTAAAGGTTTTTAGTTAATTATTTATAGTAATTATAGATGCTTTAACATGTCGATCTTGTGGTGTGATGTGCAACTTTTACTCAAGTATTCCAGATGTAATTTAATAATAGTTTTCCAAAAGTTTTTTTAGCGATTATTTTTAGTATAATTTTATGAATCGTTTTAGAAGTAATAGTTAGTGATATTCCAATAGTTTTCTAGAGATTATGCCAGCATTTTATTAAGCGTAATATTAAAAAAAGTACAGGATATATATAGAATACTCTATAACCAGAGTATCGATATTACATACAAATAATCTCTATGATTGATAAAATAAAAATATCTATATTTAAAATTCAATTCACGATTATTATTCATAAATGTCATCATCTATGTCATCGGAATTTTCAAAGTATTCGCTTGGATCGATTTGATTCCATGCCCAATTTGGGAAGTCTTTCGGTTTTGGAGGAATCATTGATCGCATCGTAATCCATCTTGGATCGTCCATTTTAATAATTTCACGTGGAAGAGGAGTAGTGTAAGAATGACGGCCTCCAGAATTTAATTTTTCCACTCGATTTCGTTTAATAAAATCCTCTACAAGACCGCGGATATGAATTGCCTATAATAAAATATTAGTAGTTTTAGTTTGTTAATAGTATATACAGTAAATAACAAAATATTATACTCGTCACTTATCCAAGGAAGAACCAGTACTAATAGTTTTCTTCTAAATGATTGAGATATATCTAAATCATTAGAGCCAGATATTGGAATCTCTTCAGCATCAGACACTTCCGGGGATGTTGCCTCAAAAGAAAATAACTTTTCAACTTCAATTTTAGGATAATTTAAATTGCTTTCAGGAATTTTGTTTAAGGCGGCTAATCGGTTAAGTGATTTCTAAAAAAAAGTAGTTTTACCAATAAAATAATAGTGTGTAAATAATTATATAATCGATACAAAATTAACAATGTAAAATTTTTTATATTTACTGTATCACGTCGCTTACGCCGTCATGAGCGTTGATCATTCAACATTTTTGCAGCCGGAGTAGTGTTACGTTCTTTTTTCAATGTCTTAAAGTAAGCTCCACAGATTTCAATGATTGTAGTTTCATTCCATTTTTCATTAGTTTCTAGAAAATAATTTGAATTATTAAATATTATAAAAGTTTGTAACTACAGTAATAAATTAAAAATAGATACGTGTGTTTTCGAATTGGACATCAAATTCCTTAATAAAGAGATCCACATAATTTTGAGTAATTCTTTTGTTTTTCCGGTTTTTAGGACCAAGTTAAAAGTCATATATATAATTACGATCTTGAGATTGAGATTCATCATCGAATCCATTAAAATAACGCATCTTGTCATGAACATTTGCAGTAAGCACAGGATTTGCTACCATAATAGCGCGTGGAGAGTTAATTGTTGTATTTGTTATACTTGAAATATTATTGTCATAACTCTGAATATGTGATAATATATTGTTCATAGTATCTTGAAGTGCCGAAGTAGAAGTTGATAAATTTTCTAATGTTGTAGTTGCAGTTATTAATGTATCTTCAAGACGTTGTATTTTAATTCCATGTTCACTATTAATATGCTGTATAGTAGTTGCAATCTCATTCTGGTTTTGCTCATAAATATCAAATCGACGTTTTAAAGAATCGATTGAATTTTTTGTTATTTCAAGTTGATTTTTAATATCTGAAGAATTTAAAGTAGTTTTTATTTCATTTACACTTTGAGTTAAGCTAGTAATACTTGTTGAAAGGGAGTTTAAAGTAGCTTTTACCATGAAAGAAATTTTTTTGTAAGACTAAAAAAAGTAATTATGAATAAGACATAAACAGATATATATAAATAATTTTTGTTTAGAGCTGATACAATAATATCAAATTTTTAATCAGTAGTATTTATTATCTTATTTATATATAAAAATAAATACAATTAATACTTACTGTTATACTGAAAATTTTCAGTTTAGTGGTATAATGATGACATATTTTTTTTTACTTCCAGACAACTTTATTCCATTGCTTTTAACAAATCGACCAATTATCCTTTGAATTGGTAAGATAGTTACAATTCCTCACTCAACAAATCGGTCTTCTCACAATTCTGCATGGTAAGTTCCATCAGCATTTGTAGATAATATATTTTTGAATAATTTATCATGTGATTTTACATAAAAATAGCTTTGTTTTTGTGAATCTCTTCTATACCAATCAACAATAGCAAGATAATGGCTAGTTGGAGTTTTTGAATTTGGCAAAGTTACTTGGTGTTCAATAAAAATTTTAATTATTCCTGGCCAATTAACTCTCTCATTTTCTAGCTGCCAATGTGCAAGTACATGCAAATTCAAATCAGAGTGCAAAAAAAAAGATCCATAGTTTTCTTTACCAAGTTTGAGAGCTATTGCCCGACAAGCCGTTGAAGACACAAGATTAATTTTTCTGATTTTGGTAATTGATTTTCATCATAAAAGTTGTAATTTGGATAAATTTCTGAATAAGAAATTTAATTATTTCAGTTGATAAGATAATTTCATGAAATGGCCTGACAAAATGACCAGGAAATCATTCTGAGCCAGTTACAATATAATCGATTAATTCACCAAATATCGCATTAAAATTCAATGCCTCTTGAACTGTAAAATTATAGTGACCCAAAGTTCTAGTTTTTTCAACATTAATTTGGGCAATCAAATCTAAAGATGATAAAAAATTCTGAGGCAAGTAATGATAGGCTTTTGCTTTAATTTGTCAAATGTAAATTTGGCGATTAAAATTTTCGAGCACTTCTAGTTCCATATTGGGGTTTGAATTAGGAAATGAACCAAGTTTCTAAAATAAATAAAAAAAAATAAATAAATTAAAATTAATAAATAAAAAAAAAATTTAAAAATTAAAAAAAAATGATGCATGCCCATTATTACATTCGTAAGCAAAACACCAGAATGAATACCACGGGCCATAATCTATCATGCATTCTCATAAATGTTTGTGCAAATACATATTAGGAGAACAGAAATTTTCCCATAAATTTGTTCAGCATATTGTAAGAATGCTATCATAGCTGTGTGACCAGCTTCAATTTCAGCTTCTGTTATAATTCTCTGGCTCCATATCAATACTGAAGTAACAAATACTTGCCAACATCGCCGATCAGCCTCATCAAGAAATTGGTATAAAAATATGTTGAATAAACTAGAACCTATATTTTCCATTAATTAGCTGTAAGTGTATCAAAATCTGAGGTAATTTTAAAGTTTATATGTCTCATATCAACTAGTAAAGGAATTGAATCAATTCGAATTTGAATTTCATGCAATTGTTTAATACCAAGTTTTGGTAAATTGTTATTCATCCATGCATATTGCACTATATGCTTACTTGTACCTAAGAATATATTGTGCATAGGGTCAATCATAGTAAATCTAGAAATATCGATATATGGTAATTCTAAAAGACAGGTCCATCGGATTCCATGTTGCTGAAATAATTTTTTTTGGGTTGTTGAGTTACTAATTTTGTACTGTAAAGCTATTTGTCGATGTTCAGCATTAGTTAATGGCGGATTTTCTTGAATATAGTTGGAATAATCAAGTTTAGAAGTTTCTAAAAAACATGAAAAGACTCTAGTACATTTGCTACATGTATGTTTTGACGAATATGGTGCTAGTCCTGAACCTAAATAAATAAATTTTATTAAATAATTTTGAAATCTTATTGTTATTTAATATTATATGTATAACTTAAATTTGTTTTTTTACACTAATACCTTGTGCGCAGCTGGTATATCACATGTGCTTTGAATTAATGCACAACGAAACATACGCCCAATTGGCCAAAGTTGCTTTAACATATTTACTATAGATGAAGATAATTTTGCAATTAATTTGTATTTGGTTCCTCTGGGCCAGGTATAATGCCGACGAGAATGAGATTTTCACTTTGATATCTTATATGCTTTGGAAAATTAAGAATTGTCAAGTATATTGGTGCACAACTTCGTTTAACATGACTATATGGAGTGTACCAGTCAAGGTTAAAAGCTAATCCAATTCGAACAACAGTACTATTTCCTACAAAAAAAGGTTGTCCTCGTTCATCTAAAAATTCTTTCCAAACTTTCCCGTCGTAGATATCACCTAATACTCCTTTTTCAACTTGTCGTTTAAATGGTGAATACATTAATTTTTCATTAGATTCATTTGCTAATATTGACACAATTCTCGTGATAATAGATTAGTAAGGATAAATTGCTAAAGGCTATAAAAATGTTAAATTTTAAATTTTAAATATTAAAATTAGTCGAATCACGTGATGTCCGAGATAATTATTAACAAAGGCTTTACTTAACTTTATATTTAAGTTTTCCTTCTAACATCTTTTGTTATTACTTGTCCACATTTAAGACATTTTGTATGTTCTGAAGTTTTTAAGAGCAAATCTGTGGGTAAATACAGAGAATGGCAGTGTAAACATACAGTATATTTGAGAATGGAACTCGGTTGTGCAATAAGTTTTTCTACATAATGTTGGCTTCGTGGAAAATTTTGAAATTGAAAAATGTCTAAATATGTTAAAACTTGATAAAAGAAGATAATTAAAGTTATAATTCCAGTTTTGGTAATCATAAATGATCGCTGAAACAAGAATAACTAAAGAATAATCCATTGAATCACATGATTTTCTTTCAAAAGCGGAGGATTGTATAAAAATTGTACAGGGTTGTATGATGGTTCCAGAATAATACCACACGGATCCGAATAATTAACATTTAATAATGGTGACGATGATATAATTGTATTATACACTTCATCAGTTTCATCTTCAACGTCAGTTTCTTCTTCAATGTCTTGTTCAATATCGTGTTCGTTTTGATCGGAATTACAATCTTCGCTTTGATTGGAATTACCATCTTCACTTTGATCGTGTTCACTTCGATCAAAATTATCCTTTGGAAAATTATCTAATAGTATTAATGGCGATCCTTTGATTTACAAGAACTTCTATTCGTTGCTGGCTACGGTTCAGCTCATTTCACCGACGCTCGTTTCGTAGAAATAACATTTCACCGACAACAATTCACAGACATGTTATTTCACCGACATTTATTTACCATTTCACCGACAGTTTATTTCACCGAAACTTATTTCACCGACAAATTAATTCTGGTCATTGTCGTTAAGGCCAGGTTAGAATTAGAATTAAGGTTAGTGGAATTTATAAAAAAAATTTGTCTATGAAATGAGCTTCTGTGAAATAAATTGTCGGTGAAATAAACTTGTCTGCGAAATAAGTGTCGGTGAAATAAACATGTCGGTGAATTTTTGTCGGTAAAATGTTATGTCTACGAAACGAGCGTCGGTGAAGTGATACGTATCCGCTGGCTATTTATTTATATAGTATATATACTAAATAAGAAATTCTTTCATAAATATTTAAAAACAAAGCTTTTAATTGTATACCTTACTACATTCTTGTAACTGTGTAACATTTTCTGCCATTTCCGTATGTGAAGATGACTCTGACAGTGCAATGTCAAAATTATCCATTTCATTCTCGTCAAAATCATTCATTTCAATCTCATCAAAATAATCCATAGCATTCTCATTGTCAACATAATCTGTTTTATTTTTCCATTTATCCGAGTAATTACTCTGTGTGTTAGGTCTTATAGGCTTTTTATTTGCTGAAGAAGCTGAATTAGATAGAGTCTGCTTGGAAAACGTATGGTGAGAATAATTATTTTTTTGATGTCGCCGCCAAGTCCTCCATGATAAAAGTTTACCACCTAACGGTTGGCATTTTGGACAATCGCACTTAGGCATTGTAAGAAATATAGGTTATATATGATAAATAATGTACGCCTACTAAAAGTTTATTAAATATTTGCTATTTCTAATTTTTACATTGGTTATGCTTATCTAAAAGTTTTTTTCACACCTAATCTCTTTTATACTATTGGATTTATTCGACACAAGTTCAAGAAAGAAAAAAATAAGTTCGATCATACACTGATCGAACGTCCTATTTATTTAATTTTTTATACTACCGATTGTCAAAAATAAACTCTAAATTACTTATTATCTGTCGTCATGGCCCCTGCACTGCAAAACCCGGTGCGTACGACATATTTCTTAAAGTTTTTTATTAGTTTTTTAAATATTTTCTATTTGTTTTATAAAAACTTGTTATATATATTCATATTTTGATTCGAAGATAAATACAAAGGTTTTCTAATGCTATTCTAGTAGTTTTTTTAATTGTGATTATTGCTGAAAAACTTTAGGAATAACTCACTATTCTTTATAAAAATTTTCTAATATAACACATTTGGAAAAGGTTTATAGTTTTACCTGTGGATAATGCAACGTACGTATGCCATATAAGTCATGTGATTGTAAAAATATCACTTTCACGACACCGATTTTGATGACTTGTAAGACCGTATTTCGAATTTTACGTTTGTACGATGATAAGAAACAAAGTATTTTGCTTTTTTATTTATTTCATTGAACTTACACAAAATAAATTAGAACAAAAACAATCATATCAAGTAAATATTCGCTCTACACAAAATACTAATACAAGTATAAATTTTATGGCTTCAAAAATATTTAAAAGCACTGATATTTTCTCCCCGCTAAAAGTTAAAATCACTTAACGTTCAAACCTTTATTAATGAATAATATAATGCTTTAATTTTTTTGAAAATAATAACTTTACTTATTGGAACATGATTATTGTACTACTGTTGCCTTCGAAGCTTCGAAGGTATATTAATCTGCGCTGTTTATAAATTTACCCTTTTAATTTCATGAACCAACCCTTTCAAATTAGCGTATAAGGATAAAGATAACATCTATTCTACTTCACCTGTAAATATATGACGCAGCTTTGTTAGAGCACGGCCGAATATAATGATTAGGGATGGGCTCGGCTACGAACGGCTACGATTATTCATAACCAATTTGCTAAATACTGAGATGATTTTTTAGGTTTAAGTTTTTAATTAAAGTTGTTCAGAATTAAATTCTGTTCATCCTAACTTATAAGTGAAAAGAACGATACTTTTTATGGAGCTCGGAATTTTAAAATTTGTTAACGTCATAGCCGGCTATACGTTAACAAATTTTAAAATTCCGATCTCCAGAGAAGGTATCGTTCTTTTCACTTAGAAGACGGGATGAACAGAATTTAATTCTGAACAACTTTTAATTAAAAACTCAAAAATAAAAACTCATCGCAGTATTTAGCAAATTGGTTATGAATAATCGTCACTGTTCGTAACCGAACCAATCTCTAATAATAATGACAAATGTATACAGTTAGAGACAGTGCAAATTTACATGAGTAGTTAGTCAAGACAGTTAGGGTATATAGGTATTGGTAGTGTCAAGTGAATTGCATTGTCCTTTACTGCCCCAAAAACTGTTCGTAGACTTTTTAGAAATTTTCATCTGTGAATCACATGATCAATATATGAGCATGTGATCTTGGAAATTGCAGTATGATTTGTCAGCATTAGGATTATTAGGCAGTGCTACTTTACAATCAATCATTCACCGACAGCTCATTTAGCCAATATCATATAGGGTTAGTATTTGACTAATTCTGTTATGTCGGCTAAATTCTGTCGGTGAAGACAGACCTAGAATTAGGTTTGGTTATTTGGCACGTAATTCTGCTCATGTGTAGTGATGTGCCGCGTACAGTACTATACGTACTGTACGCTACGTACTGTACGTACTGTACGCGAAAATCTCCGCCGATCCTTTCTACCAGCCAATCAAATTGCTGGATACGCACTGTACGTACTATACGTACTGTACGTACTGTACGTACTGCGAAAAAAATCGGGCTATCATATAAATGGCACATCACTACTCATGAGCACTGTTTGGAGTTTGGCTACCGATCCAGAAATGAGCATATCACGTGTCGATTTGCGCATTAATTTAAGTACAGAATTTGTTAATGTCTTTGGTTAAATATATCGTTTTTATTGGCCTTTATCCAACTCAGTATTAATATTTATACCTAAATTTTACATATCCGTGTACGAGTCAATATAAAAAAAAATAGATAAAAAAAAAGATAAGATAATATATATATATATAAAATAAAATGTTCAAAAAAAGACCAATAAAATAAAATAAATAAATAATAATAATAATAGTGAATAATATAAGAAATAAAATAAATGAAAAAAAAAACAAAATGAAGAAAAAAAATAAAAATAAAATCAAAAAGGCACAAAAAATTGAACAAAAAGTAAAATGAACATAAAAAATGAGCAAAGAATAAAATAAAAATATAAAATGAAAAAAATAAAATGAAAAAATAAATAAAACAATGAAAAAATAAAAAGAAAAAGTAAAATAAAAAAAAGAAAAAAGAAAATAATTAGAATATAACAATTTTTATTTGAAGGCATGAAAAAAAAATTTTATAAATTATAAGAATTAAGGTTCGTTGACTCTAGATTTTGAATTCTATTATTAAGTATTTCATATTCAAGATTAATTAAATTAATACTGAAAGGTTCGTCCGAAGTAGTTCTAAGTTCGGGACATTCGTCAAATCCGGCAGAACAACTAGCAATTCGGTTATAATTCGCCTTCTCAAGATCCTGAATTCTTTTATCAAAGCCTGCTAAACTTTGAAGAATGTTTTCATTGATAACATCAACTTTAACGTTGAGTGAATTCAAAAGTTCTAAACTTTGAAGGGTATGTTTAACGTTTTCGTTGATAATATCAACTTTAACGTTGAGTGAATTCAAAAATTCTAAACTTTGAAGGGTATGTTTAACGTTTTCGTTGTTAATATCAACTTTAACGTTGAGTGAATTCAAAAGTTCTAAACTTTGAAGGGTTTGTTTAACGTTTTCATTGATAACATTGAGTGAATTCAAAAGTTCTAAAATTTATTAAAATGTTATTTTTTGTTAGAACTACATGAGGTTTATTAAAAATTGAATCCCAACAGATTCCAAAATATTACCATTTTCAATAGCCATTTGATTAGTTTTATTATTCTTCTTATCATAGTCTACTTTGGTATATTCAATAATCTTTGGCAAAGACATGTTAAATTTTTTGAAATAAAAAAAAAAGAGATTTAATTTTTCGTTATACGGTCTATGAATTCAGAAAGCGAATACTAGCATATATATACTATCAAGCTTCTTAATTTCTCTCAGTTAGAAAACTTTCAAATTAAGTAATTATTTAATTACTTTTTTTGGAATTACTTATAAAATCAACAACGTTACTCATTCTCATGACAACTTTTCATTTTGGGATGTTGTACACAAAAAACAAAAATGATTTTATGTATTTAAGCGAAAAACGTTAGGAAATATCATTAATTACTACTCTAATCATGAATAATATATGCATATATAATTATTTCTAATTCAGATCAAAAAATTATGATGCCAAATAAACAGTTGTTCGTTACATAATCTAACATATATTAATAATGATAAAAGCGATTATAATCAGTATATTGTCGTGTATATTTTTGAAATGCGTTTATTTTTAATTCAAGTTATTATTATGTAATCTGATACTAAGGCTAACGGTAATTGAAAAGGCAACAAAAAAAAATACTTATTTCTGCAGTGATACAAACCAGAAAGGAAACTTAAAATAAAGATAAAGAACCTGGTTAAACATTAGAAATTGAAAATATGGGTAAAATAATGAATTCATATAGTAAAATGTCCTTTATAGTCATTATCAATTAGTACCGCGAAGCAGGTTTAAACATCACTTTTAGTGTCTTCACTTTTTTTCGTTTTCACACATGATAGACTGACAAAGCAATATTCACTGATAATTGTTTTTTTGTAGGATTTGTATCACTCGCAAGCGGACAAGTGGTCTTACAAATATCTGCAACTTACGTACATTCCGCGGCGCTCAAAAGTTTTTTTTTGAAGTTTCTAAAGCATAAAATTTCATATCGGGCAATTACTAAAAAGCAATTACTCATTATAGTGACAATGTTGCATAATTATTATGCATATGGTACACAAAAATAAAGTTTTCCAGCCATGTGTAACCAAATTCAAAGGCTTGACATCCACGTCGTGACTATTGTACAACCATTTTAAATGTCAAATATGGCAATATCACGAAAAAACCACTCAAAATACAGAATTGGGTTTTAAATCCAAATGAAGCATTTACTTATTTATGCAAAGTGACACACTGTTTAGTATCGATTATCTGTAAAGCTGCGTATACGTAATTATTTCTGCGGTAATACAATATAGGGCGCTTAAGGCTGAAATTGCCCAGTTACAGTTATGAAAATTTTCTCATCATACAATATATACCCTACAAGAAAAATGTACCGGATCGGCACAGTTTTTGTGGCAGGGAAGATCCGGATTTGTACAGGTATGGTCCGAGTTGGTGGACCGTATCAGGTTTTACAGTAGTTTACTAGTCGAATCGGATGGTACGTACCGCCGCGATAACAAATACAAATTTGGGATTAAAAATTAAAACATAAAATATACATTAGTAATCAATATGATATGAACAAATTAACTGCATATGAAGTAAAATTTTTTTTTGTTAAGATACTGAGCTTCATTGGTGAAATTATGAGATTGCACTTTTTTTAAAAGAATTATTTGTTGATCTTTCGCTCTCCGCAAAACGAGCTAACACGTATGAAATGTACACATATGTGTCATCTGAACGTGCCTTTCCGTATGACGTGATATAAAGTGTAACCCCTTGTCGTAATCTCCGTGTCATTTTTTACCATGCCATTTGTGCATTCCCGAAACCAACTCATACTACAACTCGGACCATAGCAAATATATATAGTAATATATTTAGCGAGTATATATAGCGATAGTTATGTATGCAAAAATTATGTGCAGAATAAAGCTATATTAAGTTACAGCGTATGAAAAGTTAATTTACAATATATAATATGGCACGGTCATATCATTATGTTAACTGTTACGGTACAAACGCATTGAAATAAGTTATAACTCAGTTAAGTCACGGCATGTCCCGATGCTTTGAGTTTCTACTGCACTTCTATTCTGGACTAGAGTTGGGCAACGAAACGATACATACCCGAAACTAGTTTCCGAAAGGTCTTAATCCGAAACTAGTTTCGGATTTTTTAAAAAAAATTCGAAACCCCGAAATCCGAAACCCCGAAACTATGCAACCAATTAGATTACAGGATTTTTGTAATCAAAACAATAGTAAAGCTTGTATGACAATATACACGTATTTTACTATGAGTACTTACTAAGTAAAAGTTATCAGCACAAAATTTTATATATAATTTATCCACCTACCTAACTCTAGCCCTAAATGTTCAATTTTTAAAAAATTTAAAAATTTTATAATAGAGCAGTGATAGCTTAATTTAT